TGTGCATTCCCTAATGGATCCTACAGTACATATTTTGTTACATATCATTTGGTAACATTTAAGTCCCAAAATATGAAAAGTAGATACGAAAACATATCTATGTTTCTATGATACTTTACTCTTGGTGTTAATCCTTCACAGATGAATCCCTGAAAAATAATTCTTGTGTAATCTACACTTGACTGTAATCTTGGCAACAGGCAGTAGAATGGAGGTTAGTCAGCCTCTCGAATCCATCCTGGAAAGAAAAGGTAATAACGACTTTGGCCCTGTTGCGGGGGAAAGGACAAGAGACATATCTTAGGGGATAAGAACAGCTCCTCTTCTGACTCTGATGAGGAAATGTTTGAAGAAACTCTGATGAGCAGATAAGTTTATGAGGAATTTGAAGCCTTTTTATACCAATTATCCCATTTGACAGCCTTACACTTTAATAACCCCTAAGTTATAACTAATGATTTGGCAAGATACAGCCAGTCCTGAAAGACTCTTGAAGTCTTGAATGCCAGTAAATATATATTTGAATGTGTTTGTTTGCTGAAGACAATTACAAAAAGATAATTACTAGAGTTTCTCTTAATAAATAGTGAATCGGGTCACTTTGTTTTGAGATCAAGATACACGTGATCCAACTCTAGTTCGTTTTTCTTTTAATTTTAGCTTGTGTTATTCAATCAAACCTAAATGATAGTTCTACATACAGTTGAGATCTCCCTTCTATCTTGGTAAGTGAACAAAGCCTAGGAGTATCTGTTTCCTTCCAGACTTAATGAAACCACAAGCAAGCACTTTGAAAGTAAACTTTGCCATCTCTATCTTGATACTTTATATATATAAAACAATTTCTTTGTTTTGTTTCTGATGTAGTAGCTTAACCTTTCATCATTTTATAATATCAAACTTAGAGCTATTGTGACTTTTCCATCCACACAAGCTAAGTTTCAGCAAAAAATAAATTTAATGTTTAAAAAACTCATTAGAAAATACAATGGACAAATTTAAAAGACGAATGGTAAAGTGAGGAAAACATTTACAACTATGACAGAGGGCTAATTTCCATAATATGCAAAGAATATCTACAAAACAAAAAAGAAAAATGTGAAAAGCCTTACGGAAAAATGGGCAAAATACATCAACAAGAAGATCATAGAGAAGAAATACAAATACTCAACATCATTCATAATTAAAAAAATAAAAATTAAGACAATTTTTTAACCTACCAAATTGGCAAAAGCAAAGGTTAAAAATATTTAATGTCAATAAATTTATATGAAAGCATGTACTTACACATTTTTGGTGGGTTACTACAATATTTTTTACAATCATAGAATGGAAATAATCTAAAGATTTGTCAATAAGCAACTAGTTAAATTACATGTAAGCATATAGTGAAATATCTGAAATTGTTATAAATAATGTAATAGTTCTCTTTGGGCTTATATGGAAAGATAGTAAAGAATTTTTTTTTTCTTCAGTTAAAAGTTATACAACTGTATGTTTAGTATAATCACATTTATTTTTTTAATTACATATATATGTTTACAAAATACCTAAAAGGACACAGGTGAACAATTATTAGTTACAGTTTCTAGGGAGTGAGATTTGAAGTGGGGGAAGGAATACAGGAAGTTACACTTTTCACTTTATACCTTTAAAAACTGCTTGATTTTTTTATGATTAAAAGATAACACTTTACTAAAAATGAGAGAGAGAGACGGGAGGGAGGGGAGGGAAGGAAGGAAGGAGGAAGGAAAGGAAGGGAAAAACCTTTTGAAGTAGTCAGACTGTTCATGTGACATGAGAGTCGAGCACCTTCCTCCCTCAAATATCATTCTTGACCTGTGGATAAGAAACCCACCAGACTGTGTTTAATATACCTTCTTTTCTCTTGCTCATTCAACCTTCTGGCAATCCTCCACTCCTTCTAAAACAAAAGGAAAGAATCAAGTTGGGAACCCTAAGAGGAGAGAGGCTGATTAAGGACACATTGTAGAGAACAATATTTTAAAATCAAATATAAAAGATGTATATAACATTTATGAGACCAATGCAACAGATTTGATGCCTACATTTGATAATGGTTGAAGTCAGAACTAAAAGTATCTCCCCTCTTTAAAGTTGAATAACAAAATATCTCAATTTATTCCCAATCCTTAGCTATAACCAGATATCCTATTATAATGTGGATATTGGCTAGACGTGGTGGCTCACACCTATAATCCCAGCACTTTGGGAGGCTAAGGCAGGAGGATTGCTTGAGCCCAGGAATTTAAGACCTGCCTAGGCAACATAGTGAGACCATAGTGAGTTAAAAATGAAATTTAAAAAATAATGGGTATACTGAAAGCGTCCTGCATTTATATCCTGACCATGAGGAAAATCTCTTAGAGCTGGAATTGTTCATCATGCTTCTTCATCTTGCTCCTGGGTCCCCCCCAAGTCCAGCTCTCTTCTCTCAGCATCCTCCTCCCCAATACAATGCAACTCAGTCTACAGCTGTTCTATATTGAATATTGTCCCTGTGCTCACTGTGGGAAAAGTGGCTCCTCTACACTCATAATATTAATACTTTTAAGTTGTTTCATAGGAAATAAAAATATATATCAAGTTTCTTCAGCTTTCTTAAATGTGGCAAAAACAAGAACTCAAGATATCTGTAACTTAAATTGTGATTGACTTCTCTGTTATATGTTCTCTTGACAATATTTGTATTAGGCTCTTTCTCTGCTATACTTTCTTTTGTGCCTGTAGCATACAAAGAACTGTAGGGGTAGCAAGATAAACAAGGCATAGCTGTATCCTTGAAGACCCTAGTCTGACAAATAAGTTTATAATAACTAGTGCTTATTGAGCACTCTTCTAAACAATGTATGATATGGCTGATGTAATCCTTACAACAACCCTGTAGAAGATACCATTTTTACTCCCATGGACCACTAAGAAAACTGAGGTGCAAAGAGGTCAAGAAATAGGCTCAAGGTCAGACTGTTAGTAAGTGGCACACCCGAGAAGTCTGCATTTGAGTTGAACCACTGAGTTCTACAGCCTCTCTCTATGCATAGAACTGTATCATAAAGCAGCAAGCAAAGCTCTAAGCACCTCAGTTTTCTTATTGGTCCATGAGAGTAAAAATGGTATCCTCTTCAGGGTAGTTGTAAGGATATCAGTCAAATCACACATTGTTTCAAAGAGTACTCTATAAGCACTAGTTGTTATAAACTTATTTGTCAGACTAAGGTCTTCTAGGATACAGCTATGCCTTGTTTATCTTGCTACCCCTACAGTGCTTTATATGTTGTAGGCACACAAGAAAACATAACAAAGAACCTAATACAAGTACTGTCAAGAGAACTTCACTAAAGTGTCATTGAAACTTTTGTTCGTTAGGGTTTGGTATCTGGGGTAAAAATGAACTGAAAATACCAGCGTGCTGTTCACTCTGTAGGAAAGACATAGCCAAGCCAATTTTGTGCTCAGTTCCAAATGCTTGTGCTACATTTCCAGGAGGGTTTTGAGGTTGTTGTTGTCTATTTGAAGCTTTGCTGATAGTATTAAGCAAGTGGTCTAATTGCCATACTCAGTGGTAGAGCGGTCTGGGGAGTATGTGCTCAAAAGCTGAATTTATGTCTCAAAAACACACTAATTAGGAACTTTCTGGAAAATTACAGTAGTTACTCTTGGTTTGTTATTTTTCAAACTATTGAGAATCCAGAGGAACCAACCCTTACATTCTGTGCTACAAGGGATATTGCTTTGTTTTTTTTCCCCAGTGAGTACACTCTTATGAAAAGGCAGTTATGCCAGGGTATGGGCACTGAGAAATTACCAAGTGATGCTCCCTAAAAAGTGGGTGAGGCCCTACATGCCTCTCACTAACCAGCTCCCCCCACCAAACCCCTACCTCCCAACAACTGCCACAAGTGAGGCTGCTCTAGAGGGCTAGCTTTATTCTGGGAAGCTAGGGTCTAAAGCCCTAACCTGAGGATCTGGAGTTCTCCCTAACTGTTGTTCCTAGGGAAGAAACAAAACAGGAGCAGAGCAGAGCTACTAGCACTCATGAGGTTGCCCTCTGAGGCCTAGATGTGAAATGAGCCATCTGGCTGAAGGCTAACTTGTTTAGTAGGTCAGCAACTCCAGAAACATGATATTGCCACTAAATGTATCTTCCAGTTTGGGATAGAATAGCCAGATTGGTAAGAAACCTACCAGTTATAAGGAAATGACTTTGATGATTTTTTTTGAAGATAGATAGATAGAGATAATAAATAGATATAGTCATAGATGTAGATACATAGTTATACCAATATCATGGCTAGTGAGAGAAAAAGAAAGGGGAATGCAGAAATCGGTCCAATAAATAATATTATGCATGTCAAGTGACATGTTGGCATTTGTTTCAATTACCCTTTAAAAAAATAAGTAGGTTAGCCTCTGAAAATATAGTTCTTTTAAGTCAAATGTTGCTAATCATTTGAGAATAGAAGGTTTATTTCTTCAGAAATGAGAAAAATGTTATAAATGGGAGGAAAGAGAAGAATCCAATTTCTGTCCTGTCCTGGAAGACACAGAATTGAATGATTCCTAATTATCATTATAGTTAATATAACAACAACTAACATTTCTTGAAGATTAACTGAGTGCTAAGCATCGTACAAGCGCTTAACAGGAACTATCTCATTTGACCCTTTCACCACCACAGCAGTTATATATACTGAAAAACAATAATGAAATATACTTACTCCAGCAAAGGGGATATTGATTTGAAGTACCTGTTTAATTGAAGAAGTGACGAGATGAGATACAGCTGATGCAGAAGGGCTGTGTGATGCTTTGCATAGGTCTGAATGTGCAACTGGAGTTCCCATCACATGTATTCATTTATATAAATTGGGTAATCTGTCTGCTATACATTTATATAAATTGAGTAATCCATCTGCTTTAATAAAATGTGTGTGCAACCATTGGGTTGTAGAAATTTCAAAGATTTTATTTTTTGACAGGATGCCTGCCGTTTTTCTCTCTTGACTCCCGCTTGTTTTATTCATTTTGGGGTAGTTGCCAATTAGACCCCATTGGTAAGTATAATTAATGGACAACTTGAATTTCCTCTTAAACTCCAACCAAGAAAATTAACCACAGACACCTTCATTTCCTTTAAAAATTTCTAACAATGTTATTCCCTATGACTGCTGTTTATCTCTATCTTCTCTAAGAAATTCAACCACATCAGAGATTAGTGACTCCTTATTTCTTATTGTCCTAAAGATGTCACATAGGACAGCTTGGCATCACTGCTAGGATACTACTAGCAGGAAATACCACTTATGTAAGTTCCAAGCACTATGCTTGGCATTTTCACATATGCTATCTCTTTTAATACAAAAACTCTTCAAGAGGGTTCTGTCTTCCTTTTGTATAGCTGATGAACTGGCAGCTGAAAGAGGTTAATTAACGCCATGTCTTAAATCAAGTTAGTGCAAACCTAGGCTGACGTCATTCCAAACCCCTTTATCTTTGCATCCCACTCATGGAAGCATTATCTCATTCAAAAAGAGAACACCCTAAAATTTTGCCTTGGAGAGCTTAAGGGTCATTAACTTCATTCAACAACGTTTTGAGTGCCAACACTGTGTCAGACAGGGGCTGAGCATTGGTTTGGCTGGAATGAGTCATCAAGCAGGGTCTTGGGGAGAGGAAGTGGTTAGTGGCAAGACAGTGGAGGAACAACATAGAAGGAAACAGGACAGGGTAATGGAAAGGAGAGTGGGAGTGAGTTCAAACAGAGGAGCTCCTGATCGTGTACCCATGGCTACAGTCTTTCTTCATGTGACTCGTGGACTTCCCTTTGTCATCCTATGCCTGAGAATATATGAAGGAGGCTGGGAAGGCAAAGGGACGTTCAATTGTCATCACTGGCATCTTTTTTGATCATTGCACCATCATCAAATGCATTGGAATAACCATGGCATGAACTTTTCCATCATTGGGCCCATAACTGTCTCATAAAAGAGATAGAAACTCTGTATGTTAAAGGTCATAGTAGAATTTCATCCCGGGAGCTCTGGAAGTGGGAAGGAGCGAAATATACTCTCAAAGACTAAGACTCAAGTTCAAACCATGTGATTTGAAAAGGAAGTTAAGCTTCCTCTGGACAGGTTATATGTACATCCCAGCATCACTTAACAGTGGGGAAGATGAGAAATTCATCTTTAGATAATTTTGCTATTGTGCAAACACCATAGAGTATAATTACATAAACCGAGATGGTAGAGCCTATACACACCTATGCTTTATGGTCCAGCTTATTGTTCCTAGGCTACAAACCTGTACAGCATATTACTAAATACAGTAGGCAGTTATAACACAATGGTAAGTATCTGTGTATCTAACAAATCTACACAGAAAAGGTACAGTACAAAATATGGTATAAAGAAGATTAAAAATGTTACACCTGTATAGGGTACTTACCATGAATGGAGTTTACATGACTGGAAGTTGTCTAGGGTGAGTGAGTGGTAATGAATGTGGAAGCCTAGGACATTACTGTACAAGACTGTAGACTTTATAAACACCATACACTTAGGCTGTGCTAACTTTATTTTTTAAAATTTTCTTTTTCCAAAAATAAATTAACCTTAGCTTTTTGTAACTTTTTTACTTTGTCAACTTTTAATTTTTTTTAAACTTTTGAACTCTTGTGCAAGAATGCTTAGCTTAAAATACAGATACATTGTACAATGGTACAAACATATTTTCTTCTTCATATCTTTAATCTATAAGCTTTTTTCTGTTTTGAATTTTTAATTTTTTTTTCCTTTTTAAACTTTTTTGTTAAACAGTAAGATACAATCACACTCATTAGCCTAGGCTTACACAGGGTCAGGATCATCATGACGTCACTTGACAATAGGAATTGTCAAGATCTATTATAATCTTATGGGGCCACTGTAGTATTTGCAGTTTGTCATTGTGCAAAACGTTAGACAGAGCGTGACTGTATATCAAAGAACATCTTCCTGCCTTCTGTGGATGCTGTAATCTGTTCAGTCCATGTATGCAGACTTCCTACTGCCTCAACAAATCAAGGGAGGGACCTTCCAAAATGCAAATACCAAATTCATGATCAGTTCACTTTAGACTGTAATGACTTGCCATTTTTCAGATGCTCTCAACTGTCTGTGTTTTTCAAGGTTTTCTCTGCTTTTTAGAGGGTCTTTGCTCTAAAGAATAATTTGTGTGAAGAAGACACAATCCACAATCTATAACCCTGCCTTCTCATTTTATGAAATGACTTGACACAAGTTGACTATATAACTAAAATCTTTGCCATGTTTGTTAATTAAAAGTTACTTTGTCAATTAAGATAATAATGAAGTTAAAAGAATTAATTTGAGGGAGGAGAACAAATTTTAGTGTAACTGGTTTCTTGGTGTTTACCAATCTTGTATATCTGACTCATTTTCCTAGTCAAACTCAGAAATTCTCTCTCTCTTCTTTTTTTTTTTCCTTTTTTAAAATTTCTTTATTTCTTTTTATTTTTTTTATTTTTTTTTTAGCAAAGAGACTTTTCCACATTGGAATTAATTGTTCAAGGACTGGGACAGCTTTTGTAAATAAGTAGTTCTGAATGGAGGAGTTGTTCATCATTATAAGATTTCTTAGACACTTTCACATACAGGGAAGAATGTGAGATCCCTTTTTAGATTAGAAAGATTTGGATTGGGACAGGTGCAGTGACTCACACCTGTAATCCTAGCACATTGGGAAGCTGAGGAGGGAGAATCGCTTGAGCCCAGGAGTTCAAGACAAGCCTGGGCAACATAGTGAGACCTCTTTTCTATAAAAAATTTAAAATTAGCCAGTCATGGTAGCACACACCTACAGCCCAGCTACTCAGGAGGTTCAGGTAGAAGTGAGCCCAGGATCATGAGGCTGCAGTGAGCCATGATTGTGCCACTGCACTCCAGCCTGGGCAATGAAGTAAGACATTATCTCAAAAAAAAAGGAAAGATTTGGGTTGCAAATATTTGACTAGCATTTTGGTCTCAAAGTCAATAAAGTTTACTGTTGCTGATCAGATATGATAGGTATCTATAGTGATAACATAGAGCTTCTTGATGGGACCCAATCCCTTCCTTGGTCCATTGCTAGCTGAATAATGTCCATATTTTTTGTCTGCTAAAGCTTCTTCTCCTACCATAATACCATGTGGACCTTATGTCCCACCCATTTCAAGCTTACTTGCAGTCTCCCTTAAATGACACACCCCGTCAGATGTGTTTTTGCCCCGTTTTGACATTTGCTGAAATTATATTCTCCCCTCGCCTTACCTAGCTGGCCAAAACCTACATTCCCTCTAAGTCTCAAATCAAAAATCTTTTCCTTTCTGAAGTCTTATCAGAATCCTCATCCCTAATATTCTTCCCAGCTCATCCCCTGTGAGCTTCCTAGGCCCACACTCACCACATCCACCATGTTCTTATAGCACTCTGTCTGTATAGGCCTCTGGCATAGCATCACTTGGTAGAGTGACTGTCTGTCCCTCTGCCTTCTCTAACCCCCATCATCAGTAGGTTGTGAGCTCCTACAGAGCAGAGCCTGTATCGTATTCATTTTTGTTACCCTGAAAACCTAGCACAGTGCCTGGCATATGCAAGTAGGTGTTCAATAAATTGTTATGTAAATATTAATATTTGGCTTTCCTAGCCTTATTTTCAGCTCTGATTTCTAGCCTGACTTAAAGATGTTAAAGAGGAATTAAGATACCAAGAGCTATAAAGGAAGGACAAATAATAAAACAATCATGACATAGAAAGATTTAGGATGAATAAATAAGTAGGAACATATAGAGGCAAAGACCATCATGCATACCTCCGACTCATGGGCATGAAAGCATTTAGTCTGGGAAATTTGACTGTATTCCTGCCAAATCATGATTGTTAAATCATTTCCATCTAATGAATTTAGAGGGTCTAAGAATACATATTTTGTGGCAGCCAACGCCACCATGGTTTCAGTATTTCCATTTACAGGGAAAAAGAAATAACTATTGATTTCTCTCATTTATTCAAAGTGATAATTGCCCACGGCTGCTTTTCAGTATAGATTAGGATCAATCCATTCAGTAGAAATGCAGAGGTAACTTTAGAAATTTAGATACACATAAAATAAATGGAAAAATGTGTGCTGACTGAGCAATAATCAACAATTTTATAGTGAGATTATATTTAGAGAAGATAAGGTGTCTCATTCCCTAGGGGTCTTAAAGAAAAATGGACTGAGATTTTAGTTTGCTTAAGATAACCAAATCTTAAGACAATGGAATTTGTCATAGAACCCCTCAAAGTTCCTTTTCTAGGGCTTATAATAATTTGTCTATCTCTTCAAAATATTACTTGGACTATTTCAAGTCATTGAAACTAATGGATGTAAAAGTGAAATCTAATTCATATAGACTTGAGAAATGACTAGCAACAGTGCTCCCAGATGTCACTAATAAAGCTATCATAGGTTTTAACAGAAAACAAATCTTTTAACCTTGAACCCTCAAAATCATGAACTCCTGAGACAAAAGAGGAAAAGAGACATTTTATGCTCTAATAAGGGCCAAATCAGGAAACAGTTAAATTTTCTTTTCTCTTTTGGCACCCGTAGCTGAGACAAATAAGCAGCCCTTCTCCTCCCTGAACAGGCTGTCCCTGTTCTGTGTTGGAGGCCAAGCTTCCAAAGCTGTATAACCAGTTTCACGTGCTGCCACCCAGCAGGCAAACACTCAAGTCCTAAATCACAGGCAGAGGAATCAAGGACTCTTGTTGGAGCCTTGGCACCTCTGGGCCCACATGGGATTCTGTGGGCCATTCCTGCTGGAACAAGGCAGGGTGATAAAGCAGGTGCGCTCTACTAAAACGGGGAGGAGATTGAAGAGTCAGCGTTTCTGGTCATCAAACAAATCTGAGCTGAACCCTTCCTCATTAGCAGTGTTTTTCCACCCAGAGGGAGAACAGAGGAAGTGCATACTGACTCTGGTGCACATTAGAATTGATTATGAAATCCTGTGGGAGACTGTGAAGCAAGC